CGCGTGCAACGTCGAAGTAAAAAGATCGAATTTCTGGGTTTGGATGCGGCTACGAGACACATGTCAAATGAAAAACAGAAATTCGGCGCACTTGATAAAAGTATGAAATCAAAAGTTTTTACTGCATCTGATCAGTGGATGAAATCGTGCGGTGTCGGTGAAATCACATTAGACGTTAAACTAAATAATAAAAAGACGAATCGGATGAAACTAACAAATGTGATTTTTGTGTCCAAACTGAAAAATAACTTAATATCGATTCCGCAAATAATGAAAAACGGCTTCAAAGTAATTTTTTTACGCAAATTGCGCGGTTGTCAAACGAAGTGCCGAGTCAACGGCAATATTTCACGTAGCTGAAAAACGGAACGATTTATACATCGTGGATATTATCGAAGATAATCGCACATTACAAACAAACACAAATCCCGAAAATCTCGAAAAATGGCACAAACGCTACGGACATCTTAATTTTAACGAATTAAAAAATTTATAAACGAATGACATGGTCAAAGGTTTAAATTTAAACTCAAAGAATACAAGCGCGGTTTATATAGTTTATGCAAAAAGTAAAATTCATCAACTTCCGTACAAAAGTTCTGAATATCGTCAAAAAGAAAAACTCGGTCTCATACATTCAGACATTTGCAGTCCAATGAGCATAAAATCTCGGCAGTGCAAAATATTTCGCGACATTTATAGATGATTTTTCGCGCTATACGGAAACGGTAATGCTTCGACAACGATCAGACGTTTTAACGGCATTAAAAAATTAAAAAAATCGCGTAGAAAAAGAAATCGGGTCATAAAACGATTGAGAACGGACAACGCGAAAGAATACACTTCCAAAGAATTCAAGAAATTTCTCGAAGATGAGAGTATCGCGAGACAACTCACTGTTGAATATACTAACTTACAATTATCGTAAAAGTTTTTTTAACAATGTTTATATATACGTATTACAAATTTATGAAATAAAACCACCGCGTCTTATAACATAACAGATCTACAAGAAAGTAAAAGTAAATTTAGCTTTACATACATTTGCTCAAAGTAAAATCTCTGTACATCGACTAAACTATATACTAACTTAGAATTACCGTAAGAGCTTTTTACATTGTTTATATTAATGTATTACTAAAATATGAATTAAAATCACAGTGTATTATAATGTAATAAAACTAAGATGTAATAACATGAGTAAAGGAGTGAAAATATCACATACATTTGCACATAGTAAAATTTCCGTAAGTTAAATAATCATTGTGCTAACTTACAATTACTGTAATTTCTGTGTTTCTTTAACGAGTTACAAACTTATCTTAAAATATAAGAAGTAAAAAATAAAACACAACGTTATTAAACTTTATGTAACTAAGTAGAATCGCATGAATAAATCGCTTAATACATCATTCTGGCAATATCATTCAAGTACGATGGTACATTGATTTGATATCACATTGAAAATAAATTATCTTTGTCTGTGAGAACGTTACCAAATTATATAGTCATTAAATTATCTTTTAAAATAACATTGCATAAACATCTTATTCGCTATCAGAAAGTAATTTTCTTGTTAAGTAATATAAAGTGTTTTCGTATTTATAACTCTTAATAATTTGTTTTTATATAAAGCTTTTGTTTCCAAATAAGTGTGAAGATTTTCTAATTTTTACACTGTTTTCATATATTTTTTTACATATTTTTAATAAAATTTTTAAGAAAAAATGATGTTTGTAAATATGAAACTTCAATTGAATATTTCAATTGATCCATTAGTATTCAATATGTTAAAAATATTGTATTATCGTTATTCCTTACATCTATAGCGAGATGTGGGCAGTAGGCAAAAAAATATGTCACAGTATATCACGGTACAATATGTTTGTCGGTACACTTCTTTGCTGTATGCTACCTCCTCGTACTACTATTTGCAATTACAATGCACTGTAGTTACGACAAGCATTATTACGACAAAAGCATTATTACGACAAAAGCATTACTACGATAAGAACATTTCATAGTTTTCCAAGTAGATATTATGGTTTTCTGATTCTCATACAGTTTTCATATATTTCTTTACATATTGGACATTGATTGGTTTCGAAGCGTCCGATACATTCAAAACAATAGGCGAGATGACCACAAGGTATGAAGTGCAAGGCATGTGTGCGCTTGTTGCTAAAACACACCGTACAAGTGTCTGTGGAAGATGTTTCTTTAGTAATCTTATCTTTCAGATTCCAGTTTACAGTGCAGAATGAAATAGAATTATTGTCTTCCGTAGAATTATTGTCATCATTTAAATATGAATTATCTTCGGATATTTCATATATCGATTCATCTTCGGTTATTTCATATATCAATTCATCTTCGGGCAGTTTATATGTGGATTCATTTGTAAAAAAAAAAGAGAGAATATTAATATTGTATATGTTAAATTTTACTTGAATATCTTTTTTCAAGTGAAGCTAAATACTTAATGAGCACTTATGTCTAAAATATTTTTAATACTGCTTTTAAATATAGGAAACCTGGCTAATTATCTTGTATTTTATTACAATTATTCTTTGTATCAGCAATATTTGTTTGAATGTTCTGTGTTATCATTTGTATATTTGATGAATTTGTTCTATCGTTATCTGGAAACAAATAATTATTTTTAAGGGGATTCTAAAGCGAAAGACGAACTCCGACGGCCGACCGTTAATGCCATCTAAACGGAATTAAAGAAATATTGGTAATGATCGATAATTTAAAAAGTCGATATTATCGACAATTTAAAAAGTCTATATTATCGACATGACTAATTCCGTTTACTCATATTAATTTTTACCTTATCATTTTACTAAATAAATGAAAACACATGTATATATTGTATACATGTATTGTCAATGCAGTAGTCATTCTTCACGACGTTCGCTATGTCCAATATCCTTATAGGCCAGGATACGAAGGGCACTACATGTATTTTTTCCAAGAGAACATGTATATATTGCACATACGTAATGAAGCGACTCTTTGCTATA